TTTTGCTCTTTGTAGAATTTGTCTCTTAAAAGAAGAATAATGTCATAGACATAAGTAATTATTAAAATCAGAAGTATTAGATAAAAGATGAATAAAGGCAGATTTAATAATATCTAGTGATGAAGCTTTTTAAAAGCTACATAGATACAAATTTAACTTTAAATATGTTTATAATTAATTAATAGATTAGAAACTTAACCAACAAGTTAGTCATATATCACATGTGTTGATAGCTTGTGATACAAGCTAATCACATGGCATATATGTAAGAAACATGTCTTATAAGTTAAAGACATGTCTTATAAGTTAAAGACATGTCTTATAAGTTGGATACGTGTTGGAGGTCCTACAGAACGTCAATACATAGTTTTTAGTTAGATAGAATATATGGAGATAAAAGTGAAACCTTTTTCACATTGTCAATACCTTTTTTGTTTATTGTCTAGTTTCAAGAATCTTTACTCTTCTTGTCTTTAGCAATAGCCATTTTAGTTCTAATACTATATTACTTTGAATGAATATATATTCTTATTGAGTGATACAAGAGTATTTTGAGGATTTTATTATTGTAATTCATGTCCTTGATATAAATAAGTATATTTGACCTTGTTAGGTGCAAATTTTATATTTAAAATAAATAAAATATTTATTATTGGACATATCTATGGTTCATATAGACACAAGGCAAGTATTGAAAATGTTGATATTATTAAAAAGATAAAAAAATATACAAATATAACAAAAATCAAAAGATTTTTAGAAGCATGTATTTTCTATCAAATAAAAATATTCCATTTTGCACATATAGTACATCTATTGTACAAATTATTAAAAAAAATAAAAAAATTCAATAAAAAAAAGAACAAAAAATAGCTTTGAAAAAATTAAAGAAACTTCTTTTTTCACCTTAAACTTTGAAGAAAGTAAATTTTAAATATAAAAGGCCTATAGTATTAGTAGTTAATATAAGTTTGATTAAAATAGATTAAACAATTAGACAAAATAATGAATATAAGAATAGATATGTAGTAAGGTTTAAAATAAAGGTTTTAAATAGAAGATAATAGGCATATGTACAAATCAAAAGAATATTATAGAATATAATAATAGCTATAAAAAATAAAAATGGATACTTGATTGATACATCAATAATTATCAAAACATATTTTTTACCTTCATTGGAGATGATTACAAATTATTCAGTTCTAAATATTGCTATATTAAGGTGGATAGTATGTAACAAATTTATAAATCCAAAATTTAAGCATATTTTAAGAAAATATAATTTAATTAGAATTATATTATTAAAGACAAGATATTATGATGAAGAATATATTATTAATTTAAAAGATGATGTAGGTCTAAATTTTTATTTTAATGTATTATTAAAAAAAAATGTATATTTAAATAGACCATTGGAATTATTTTTAAGAAACATGTATGAAGATGAATGGAGAGATATTAGAAAGTATCTAAGCATATTAAAGCAATAAGACAAGTCGACAGATCAAGAATTTAAAGAAATCCATAAGAAGGCATATGGTTATTTTTTACATGATCGATATTTATGGAAGCTTCCAAAGAAGACAAGAAAAGTAACACAATAGGTGATATGTGGTTCAAAACCTCAATAAAAGATTATTAAAGAATTCTATGAGAATTTGTGGGTAGAGCATAGAGAAATTTTGATAATTTTACTAGATTGGAGGAAAAGTATTGGTAGATAGGTATATAAAAAGGTGTCGCTGAATTTATAGGATCCTATGAGATTTATCAACTTTATTCTAACATTTGGCATCAAGATGGATCACATATAATTTATCTTCTAACATTATATTATAAATAGGTGGTGGATTTATTAGCAATGCCAATAAAATTTGGATAAATGAAGTATTTAATACTTACTTAAGAAGATTTATGAAATATGGTGAAAGAACAAGCATTAAGAAGAAAAAGCACTAAAAGTGTATGTTGATTTTTTTTTAAAGATGTTATTTGTCTCTATAGTTGTATTAAAAAAATCATTGTAGATAGAGGTAAATTGGATGTAAAAGAAGCAAAATAATTCTTTGGTAGGATTAGAATTTAATTTTCTTTCATAATAACATATAATCCAAAAGGTAATAGAAAGAATGGGTATGGACATTCATCTATTATTAAGGCATAAGTAAACGCATGTAATGGCAAAGTATATCAATGGTCTAAGCTATTACCATTTGCATTATGGACAAACTGCAAAACTTATAATATAGTGACATATTATATGCCTTCTAAATTAATATATGGATAAAAGCTAGTAATATCAATAGAAGTAACAGAGCTTACATTGAGGGTGTTGCCTTAAAAGGATAATTTTAATAGAAAAGAGCTTTTAGCACTATAGATTCAACAATTAGAACAAAGATCTTAAGATATTAAAGTTGAAATAAAAAAATTAAAAGAAGTTAGGAAAAAGAATTAAAAAAATAATAAATAATAAAAATAAATGATAAAACTTATTGACAATAATCTAAGGCAATTAAAAAATGTGATTGGATCTTAATCTATAATAATAGTTTAGATAACCAATATAATATATTAAAAAAGTTTTCTAAATGTTGATTTGAACCATATGTTATAATAGAAGTCTATGACAATGGTACATACTTGTTATAAGAACTTGATGGAACAAAATTGAAGATGCCTATAGCAAGCAAGCAAATCAAGTTATTTAAATGAAGAGGTATATGTACTTATTTTCATGAAGAATAAAATCTATTAAATAATATTAAAATAGAAGTAGATGAGTAATATTCCATTATATTTCTTTAAATATTATAATAATGTATTGCTTCTTTAAAATTTTGTAATGATTGATTTTTTTGATAGTTGATTCTTTCTAGTATATTTATTGTAATATTATAGAAATTATTTATAAAACTTAATTTAGTATTATAGATCTTATATTTATAAGTATATATTTCATATAAAAGATACAATTTTTTTTAATTCTAGACCTATCCAAATTTCTTATTCTTATGCTTCTTGTCTCAATCCTTTAGCCATTGCTTTCTTTTTGTATCATTTTCCTTAATATATATACATTTGCTCAATAATCTCTATATATTTCTTTTTTTCTTTTTTATTTAGGATCTTCATCAATTTTAATCTCATAATGTATATAATTTCAGTTATATTAATTTTTTTCTTTATTTAGATATTCAAAGAAATTTAGTATTAAATTGATGTTGTTAGGTACTACAATTCTAAAACTTTGTACAATAATGTGATTTAAAAAGCTGATTTTTACGGCAATATCTTAGTTCAAATTGGCATTAATGATTTCTTCAGAAGGACTCTTTTTTAGTTGGTGAAGAGATCCTACTTGTTATCTATGGTTGATAAATTATTCCTTAGATCTATTCTTGTTTTACCTTTTACATCCATTTACACTACAAGGACTCATATTTTGCGACTTTTGTTTTTATTATGAGATACTTCTAAGACTACATCTTTTATTTTATTTTACTTTTGAAATAATATTGTTTGTAAACATTTAAATGTTAAAACATATTTTAAGCTATAATCAATCATGATATCTAAAAGTCCAACATTTTTTAATTTTTTATGATTTGTAAACTAAATTTATTTCTAGTTTTGCAAGCAATGGTTAATTAGAGGCTACATTTTCATTGTGAATCCTTATTAAAATCTTATAGAAGTATCAATCAAAACTAATTTATCCCTACAACTCTAATATGGTTTTGAATTGATTTGTATTTTAAGAGTGATGTATTAAAAGAATTTTTAATTGAAGCATAGCTTGCTTTAAATATTGTCATAATTGGCTAACTTGTAGTTCATATTTTTGTCTCCTATCTTGCAATTTAATTGCAGCTCTAATTCCTATAACATTTGTTAAAATTATTTTGTCCATCTTCTCTTGATTTTTTTTTTGTTTTGTATATATATATATATATTAGAATTAAATCTCCATCTTATTTTTGCCTTCAACATCGATTAAAATTTAGATACTAATTTTTTTGTTTTCCTTTTAGCCTTCATCAAAGAATTAATCTAAATTAATAGCTCATTGTGAGCAGATCTTTAAAATGTGTTTAATAATTCCTTCAATCTAATTCAAGTTGGTATTTTATTTCTTTTATTCTATGTAATAAATTTTGATTCTAAATTGCTTCAAAATTATGATTTTAAATGCTAAGCTTAGAATAAAAAATGACAAATTGATATATAATATTATAAATATAACAACATCTTCTTTATTATAAATGCCAACTTAATTTTGGATAGAAACAACTTTTACCATTTTTTTTGGTTTATGACATTTTTAATAATGTTTTTTAGTTGAAACAACTACAAATCATTTATATAATGATTTATTCTCCCCAAGACATGCTATTATAATGTGGCTAAACAAATGTTCAATCTCAAATCCTATTACCACCTTATCTGCTTAAATCTAGTGTTAAACAACCTAATAAAACAAATATATATACATGACTTACCAAATAAAGACATGCTATTATAATGTGGCTAAACAAATATTCAATCTCAAATCCTATTACCACCTTATCTGCTTAATCTAGTGTTAAACAACCTAATAAAACAACATATATACGTGACTTACCAAATACTATTACCTTTATCACAACAAATCAACATCCAAAACTCCAATGCCATCTTAAAAACCAAAAAAACAGTATTTCAATAAATAACTTCTACACGACTAAAATTACAAACTCACAAAAACTCATAATTTTGTTTTTGGCATTCCCGATCGTTGTGTGGCACCCACACCAGAAATTGGTCCACAGCATGAGCCAAGAGCAAATGGAACCCTAAACCTAAAACATGAAACGCGCGGGTGGAAAAAAGGAGGGAGGGAAGAGAGGGAGGGGAATGCATGGATTGATTGAGGTGCGTGCGTAGGGCCCTACGACGACGACGACGACGACGACGAAGATGCCATGTCGTCAGGAGGAGGAGGAAAAGGGGATGTTGTTATGTTGTTGCTGCTGCTGCTTCGCTTTTGCCACTGGGTCGCTGCCGCACTTGAGGATGATGCTGATGTGACTGTGTGAGCTGGCTTGCCGGGATCGCCATCCATCCCTCTGTTGCTGCAGTTTAGCGAGGAGGTGAGGAGTTTATTGTGGCTGTTGTTGTTGTTGCTGTCTGTGGGGTTTCAATGGCGATGTTGGTGGAGTTCAAGGACACCGTGCTAGGGATGCTGCCGGACGCGCTGGTCACTGATGCGGTCATCTTCGGGGTTCATATCCATGGTGCGTTTCTGTCTGTCTGTCTGTCTGTGCACGTCTTAGCTCGCTCTTCATTCCCTATCCGTCTTCTGGGTGTCGAATCTGTCGCTGCTGGCTATCAGATCTGGCAATCGACGAGGCGTTTCGGGAGCCGTGTGATGCTGTTTTTATGGGTTTCGTGTTTTCGCGCGATTGTGTTTTTATATTTAGTGTGTTTTGCCTGGCTGCATTTTCGAGCTTGGGTTTCTTTGCTGAGCTTCAGATTGAATACTCTCGGGTTTTTTTTTTTTTTTTTTTTTTTTTTTTTTTTGTTTTTTTTTTGAAAGCTTGGAAGGAGGAAGGAGGAAGGATGAGGGAGGATATGTATCGGAGTGGCGTTGATAAAACGCACAACAGCCACCAGGTCTGCGTTAGAAGAGGAAGAATCGAGTCAAGTTTTTTGGTTTTAAGGAAGCATTCTTTTTGATGCAAACGGTCATGAGAAGCAATCGTGTGGATCTTTTTGGTGACAGGGCATCTGCTGCTGGAAACTTTGCTTGTTGTGGTGATTTTTTACCTGCTCTTGCAACAAAGTTATACGCCGGAGAATCGGGCTCTAACTGAGACTGTGAGCTTCTTGAGCCTACCAACTCATTAGAAATGTACTTTCCTTTTACAGCTCTCGGTATCAATTTCCGAGCCTCACATACTTCTCAATCCTAATCTCATGATCCACCACAAATTCATTGGCGAAACTATCAGATTTTACGATTTCATAAGCGAGGGGTAGATTAAAGAGCAGGAGCTTGGCTTTTTCGCTGGGATGCCAATCTAGAGATATATGTGGCATGTTTTCAGCACTTTCATCATCTGTGTTATGAATCCGTTCCACGGGGCATTTGATGCACACGTCCAGTAGAGTTTACTTCGACTTTTCATCTTTTTCGACTGACGATTTTTTTAACATAGCTCCAATATATGGTCGATATTATTAGCAACAAGGCGATTTTTCATTCTCCTGTGACTCCTACTTAATCTCTTGTGCCTAAGCAAGGTGCCAATATTCAGCCTACTTATTTTGTGGAACTTAACTGGATTGGAGGTGGGGTTCTTAAGTTCTGGAAAGAAACTTGAAAGCCCATCAGAAGTTGTTTTAGAGTGATCACTGAAACTGGCTGTGCAGGAAATCGATCAACTATGTGAGGAATGGACCCCTGAACCGCTTCACCCAGTGATTACAGACGACATGGAAATGAAAACTCCTATTCTTGAAAGGTAGGAATATAGACCTGATTAGTAGATACTCTGTCCACGAAAACACTCCTTATGTGCAACTTTCTTGGAGCTTGTAAGGTCCAGGACATTTAATGATTCTTTGTTTTGATGTATTGTTTTACGCCACCTAGCTCAGTATCCCTTGCAGTTTTAAGAAGCTTTGCGTGAATTTGACGTTGAGTCAGCTGTAAACATGTAGCTTTTGGGCGCTTTTGATGGCAATGTGTACAAATGCCCGCAATGAAAACCGCTTATTTAGTGGTTTTTATCAGTTCATATTTTTGACTGATTTGACGGGGGGGGGGGGATGTAGCGCACTTTCTTTTCCTTCTCTTAAACATACAGCACTTTAATTTGATCTTGCAGTGCAGCGGGTCCGCATACTATAATTGACGGCAAGGATGTTATTAACATGTCTACAGCAGATTATCTGGGACTGATTGGCAACCCCAAAGTCAAGGTAGCCCATTACCAGTCACTACGTTGCGATTTATAATTCATCCAAACGTTAATGCTTCTTTTACTTCCTTTCTTGTTTGTCATGAGATAATTTTGTGTGGTAGGCGGTTGTGCTCGGTGAGCTTTTCACCTGAACGGAACAAGTTTATTTGTTTTTGCTGTGTGGGGCTTCACAGGAAGCTTGTAACGCTGCAGTAGAGAAGTATGGTGTCGGAGCCTGTGGTCCCCGTGGGTTCTACGGCACAATGGGTAAGCAGGCTGGTAGCCCATCCTGAGTCTCAAAGTAACTCATTGTTTGACCTTATCAGCACTAGTTGTCTTGCTTTGCTCTATTTTCATAGTTCTGGTAGTGCGATGGAAGCCTGACTCTGTATGTGGTGGACTAGCAATTTTTCTGTGTCCATGCTAAAATGGAACTCACTTTGTCCGATGTTTACAGATGTGCACTTGGACTTCGAGAAGAAAATTGCCGATTTCATGGGCACTCCGGACTCAATTCTCTATTCTTATGGATTGGCTACCACGACAAGTGTGATCCCTGCGTTTTGCAAAGCGGGGGATCTCATTTTAGCGTAAGACTATATTCCGTCAATGAGATTGTTTGGTGATCGAAGCGTGTGTAAATTTTTGTAATTTTGTTGAAGGTTGCCTTCGTAACGAAATCTGTTTTTATTTAGAAGCTACTCGTTCGTCAGGTCTGTCGATTTGTTCAAAGATGTTTTCCAAATAATGCTTTCTTCTTAGAGCTCCAGTTGAAACGAGATGCATCCTGAGTTGATGGTCATGCATGTGTACCAGTGATGATGGAGTGAATTGGAGTTTACAAAATGGTCTATACTTGTCAAGAAGTAAAGTCAAGTATTTTAAGCACAATGACATGAAAGACCTGAAGGCTCGTTTGGAGGAAGTGAGGAAGGAAGACAAACGCAAGAAGCCCCTCAATAGACGTTTCATTATAGTTGAAGCTATCTACCAAGTATGTTGGACCATATTACCTCCTAAGATATGCCTCTGCACATATTTTGCAGAAATTCTTTCTTGGATTCTGCATTTTTTTACAACAGTTCTGACATATCGAGCATGACAATGTGCATAGAAGTTTGTTTGCGGTTTCTCTTCCTCAGATGTTCGATAGTTGATGCTCTGTATTCTTGCCTGAACTATCTCCTGCAGCAACATGCGATTGAACATCGTTTTAAAGATGAAGTTTGTTGTGAACAGAATTCAGGTCAGATGGTACCTCTAGATGAGCTGTGCCGACTTAAAGAGGAATACAAGTTCAGAGTACTAATAGACGAAAGTAACTCCATTGGCGTTCTAGGAAAGACCGGTCGTGGTATATCTGAACATTTTAATATCTCGGTATGACTCTTACTTGACACAAAAAGCATAACTTAAATTGTTAACTTTTTTTGCACTTTTATCGTCAACTGCATTCATGACTGAGCTTTCATTTCATTTCATAGGTGGAGAAGCTGGACATCATCACAGCTGTTATGGGTCATGCTCTGGCATCTGAGGGAGGCATCTGTACAGGCAGTGCAGAGGTTGTCAGTCATCAGGTTTGTGTGACCTTCCATCTGAACTTCCATCAGTTTTCTCGGAGGAAACCTGGAACAGACTTATTTTTCTGGGTTGATTATCCGTTAATTCTTTTCATACTGTATATTTTTTCCAAGCATCAACTTTGTTGGTGGTAGTCACTTAGTGCTAGTAATCACTTCCCCTCCACAGCAGAGCTCCTTATTGGTCAGCTGGATACTGTGTAATGATGCTTTTCATGTGGGGATTAATGCGCAGCGTCTTTCAGGATCAGGGTACTGTTTCTCGGCTGCATTGCCTCCTTTCTTAGCCAGTGCCGGAATTGCAGCCGTGGAAATTTTGGAGAATAATCCTCAATTGCTGTCTCGACTTCACAAAAACATTTCACTCGTACACTCAAGTATGTGTATTTGTGGTTTTATACTGAAACAGTCATGCTATTTGTGCTTTTTACTCAAGATGGTAGAATTATAAAGAGTCGAATAATATTGTGTCGGGACGGTGATGTTACATCACGGCTGGCTCGTGAACTCAATTTTTGATTCTTACACTATCTTGTGGGTTGAGCAGATCTTTCTTCAGTACCTGGAATCAGAATCGGATGCAATAAATTGTCTCCGATAGTGTTCTTGCATTTGGAAGAGTCTGCTTCCTTTGCTGAAGATTCCTCAATCCTGCAGCGAGTTGTCGACCTGGTAAAGCTTTATGTTCAACACCCTGAGAGATGCCTACTTGGTGATAGGGTATTATGAGTATTGGGCTGTACTTTATGATGTTGAGAATGGGGTATGTGACAATTAAGTTCTAACTCCTTGTATGCATGTGGGCAGATGTTGGATGAGGGGATTCTTTTGAGCTTGACGAAGCGCTCTCTTCTGGACAATTGCAAACTACCAGCAGCAATCAAAGTAGTTGTTACTGCAGGGCATTCCGAAGAGGACCTTCTATTAGTCACCTCAAAGTTGAGGAATGTCATGGCTAAAGTCCTCAGGTGCTAAGATGTAAGGCATGTTCTCAGAACTCTAGAGACCCATAGACACAGGTAGTCAACAATCTATCCTCATTGAGATTGTCACCTCAGCATGTACATTGATAAAAGCATGGTAGAAAAATGTATTATGGCACATAACCAAAGAACCCAGGTCCTTCTCAATTTTAATTAGATTCTTTTTTAGGATTGGCTAGGATTCATTGGATCAGATTTCATGGCCTGAGGAGCGAGAGCACGGGAGGCTCCACTGATGGAAACTCGATGGGAACCACTATTGTATTCCTCTTTTTAAAATAGTCCGTGTGTAAGCTAAGGACAAGTAACCTATGTGTACCATGAACTGTTTGCAAGCTTTATGTTCAACATCCTGAGAGATGCCTACTTGGTGGTGGGGTAAGCAACTCCACATGCAAGCAAGCTACTTCTTCAATATGGGTGTTACTATTTAAAGCATTTATCGAAATCAGTGTGGTGAACGATGAGCCTTGACGTCACCAGAAAACTGGAAGAATAAAACCAATCACTCATAGAATACATGGCAAAGATAAGAAACAAACCCGGATTTAATGCAGTCTATGTGTAGTTGTCGGTAATAATCAATCAACATTGCGATGCTTCGACTAATTTCTGAAGCCTTTGACGAAGGGGCTTCCTTCGGAATTATTGACCCCTCATCTCAGGAACCAGCGGCTGTCTGCTGCAAACCAGAGCTTCAGGTTCCTTCCGGCGAGCTCTTTATTTTTTTATTTTTTCATGCATTGTGTTACTCCTCATTCCTCACGTGAGACAGTATCAGGAGTATAAAAACAGGAGGTATTGTTTATATAAAGCATTTTATCAAGTCCACGCCTCCACTCAGACTTCAAAACCTCACGATGGGACTGTCGAAAATAGAAATCTGGAGCGGAGCTGATCGCTTTTAGGGCTGGCAGAAAGCAAGGAGCGAGACTTGAGTGAGCTCATGGCAAGAGCCCGTTAGGATGAGAAGAAGAAGGAGGGGGTCTTTCTCTTCGTTGCATGTCCTGCTTCGCACTCCATCTCCATCTCCCACTCCCTCTCCTCTCCTTCCCATTCAGGACCTCGGGATGGTCAGCATCATCATGTCAGCACTGCGCTCGGCATTCGATGGCCCACAAGATCTCCAGATGCGCCTCCTCTCGCTCTAATCATCAATCCATCGCATTCGGTTGTCTGCTGCAGCGTCACGGTTCTCGCTTGAGTGATTCATGAATGCTCGGTGCATGTGTAGGACCTACACGGTGGAAACCATCTGGTGACCCAGGTGGGTCAGTTTGTGTTTTTCCTCTTCTTTTCCCTCTGCTTCTTCTTCTTCTGTTTCTTCTTCTGTTTGTTCTTCTGCTTCTTCGTTTTCCTCGCCAGGATTTGCGTTGCGACGGTGATGTTGTTGTGTTAGATTCGGATGGCGCAGGGAGATTGTAGTCGGTGGAGTGGTGTCTGAGGTACTGGGTTTTGAGAAAAGTGAACTGTGGGTGCAGAGAGAACGAGGGGAGGGAAAATCTGCGAAAGAGGCCTGGCACGATTTTTTTTAGATGTCGTTCAGGGGAATTTGAGCAAGTTTTGGTAGAAATCGGTGGACGGTGAGAAGAATTTTCGGTTGGAGTTTAGGAATCGAGGCGGAGGAGCACAATGGCGGAGAAAGGAGGCCTCGGAACAATCGGGGCGCTGGGCTTGTCGGTCATTTCCTCGGTGGCCATTGTTATCTGTAACAAGACTCTCATTACCACGCTTGGTTTCTGCTTCGGTACGAGAGTTTTCTTGGAACGTTTGTTTTATTTTTTGTGAGTTTGTTCTCTTTCAGATCTCTGAATTCTTAGAGGTTTGCTGAGCCCTCTTGAATGAAAGCCGACTAGTCCTAGCCTTGTATTGTTGGCTCGGTGGGTGTTCTCCGGGGTGCTATCTGGTAGCTTCACCTCTCAGATTTTCAGGGCGAAAATGTGGGTACTAAAATCTTAAACGTGACAAGCGTGTGACGGCAGCCAATTCGCGAACAGATTTATCGTTACTCGTAGTTGGGTAGTCTAGTGTGCATAGCATTGATAGTAGTGTACACCCGCATCATTCAGCAGGCGAATGTTAATTCGTTTTTCTGCATAGATTTCCTTTTGCTACCTGGGATCTAGACCATCTGAATAGCTGCGATGGAACAACTCACGCTGCTACTTCTCACCATCACATCATCTTGATCTCCTTCGAGGACAAGTTACAGTCCTTTGTTTAGATAATTCTTCCTTTCTGTGAATTCTTTATGAAAAGCCGAACAAACGGCTAGGGTGTGCATTGACGTAATCTTTGATATGTGTAGTTTACGGTAGGGTTGAAGTAGGTCAACAGTATGCGCTGCATTTGGTATCGAAAGTCTACGATTCTCATCACAAGTGGACAAATCTGTACTGTTACGTGACTTGCAATAGTAACCAGATTTGCTAGGCGAAACTTTAGTGAGAGTGGCGACGTTTGAAATTTGATAAGCTGATTTCTATTTTAGCTCTTGTTTTAATTCTTCGTCATCATTGATATAAAAAATGTTCTGCGGAGGGACATTTCTTTTGACCCTTGATTTTTGCTTGGTGTAGCTACCACATTGACAAGCTGGCATCTGGCTGTGACATTCTGCTCACTCCATGTTGCGCGATCGTTGAAACTATTTGAACACAAGCCCTTCGATTTACGGACGCTTTTCGGGTTTGCCGTTCTGAACGGAATTTCTATTGGCCTTCTAAACCTGAGCCTGGGTTTCAACTCTGTTGGTTTTTATCAGGTACTAAATTTTGTCAGCTATACAGAAAGCTGAGCTTGCGTGTTGCGTGATTATAGATCAAGAGACGTTTTGGCTTATTACCATTTGATCCCCCTTCTGTTATAAGGGTTCTAGCTCTGTTGCATGAACAAGAACCGAATCTGAGAGAGTACGAGTAACCAAACAATTTTCTTGCAGATGACCAAACTCGCAATCATTCCATGCACAGTGTTGCTGGAAACAGTGTTCTACAGGAAGCGCTTCAGGTTCGTTATGTTGTCCCAAGATTTGTATGATGTTAACATCTTTAGGATATGACCTTCGTGATCGTTAGGCCGACAGTCAATGTGATTGCAGTGAACTTCGTAAAGCGTACGCGTTGGTTTGTTTTGATTGAGATAGGACTAAGATATTGACTGTGTTATGATGGCAGTCAGAGGGTTCAGTTTTCAATCGCATTGTTACTCTTTGGTGTGGGAGTTGCGACCGTCACAGACTTGCAGCTTAATTTCCTTGGTTCCGTAATCTCTTGCTTGGCTATTGTGACTACATGTGTAGCACAGATTGTATCCTTTCACCGCATGACTGTCGATGTGTATTTTCGCGAAAGCCGAGTATGTTAGCTGATTGAAAAATGAATGTGATGAACCAAATTACAGGATGTGCAGTGCCTTACTAGGAAGCAAAATTGCTTTTGGATATTCCTGGTTATTCTGCAGTGGTCCTATTTGCGAAGTGATTTTTTTATTAACTTGAGTCAGTCTCAGTAATTTAGCAGTCGCACACGTTAAGCATTTAGAATCGCTTACGATACCTTTGATATTATCTTGCAATTTATCGAAAAGTTGAGTTCCTGAGCTTTGGGATGTTAGATGACCAACACCATCCAGAAAAGGTTCAAAGTTTCATCTACACAGCTTCTATACCAATCTGCGCCGTATCAAGCTGCTACACTTTTCGTGTCGGGGCCCTTCCTGGATGCTGCCTTGACCAACAGGAACGTATTCAGTTTCGACTACAACTCATTCGTTTTGGTAAGTGCATATTATCAGCCGCCTCGAACATTAACGTCAACCGAGTGAAAAGCTGTTTTTGCATTCTTGTACGATGAGAGCTGCAGAACGCATGTAATATGACGAATGGTCGCTATAGGGTTATATTAAGAGTAACGGATCGTGACACCATTTGGGTTTTTCTGCTTTTGATGAGCTTATTATCCTTGTCTCTTGTCTTCTCATTGTGGCTTTTGTTGGGTGCCAGTTCTTCATCGTGCTTTCGTGTCTCATATCTGTATCAGTTAACTTCAGCACGTTTCTAGTTATTGGGAAGACATCAGCGGTGACTTATCAAGTGCTTGGACATCTGAAGACGTGTCTCGTTTTGGCCTTCGGATACATTTTGCTGAAGAATCCCTTCAGCTGGCGCAACATCTGTGGAATATTGATAGCAGTGATTGGAATGGGATTGTATTCGTATGCATGCGTGTTGGAAAGCCAGCAGAAAGCCGAAGAGCTACCCGTCTCATCATCTCAGGTATCAATCTTTCTCCAGATGTTGAATGCTACCAACCAAAGATCTATGGAAATATGTTGCATATTGTGTAGCTGTTGATTGTGTTATCGTATCACTTGGAAGCAATATTTTGCATTTACCGAGCACGTTTTTTTTGTAATCGGTTGGTAAGCGTATTTTCTTAAAGCTACTTGAATTAATTAGTGGATTGTTGCTCAGGTTTTAAAAGAGGATGTGCTATCTGTGTCTTTGGACACTGATGAGGTCTCCGAGTCCGATCCGCTTCTTGAGGATGGTAGCATCAAAGTTGGGTCACCATGGGGCAGCAACAAAACCGGTTTCGGAAAAGATTTGCGAGCATAATTCATTAGCTCAACTTTGCAGCAGTATACTTTGCAGCAGTATATGAGATTGATTACACTTTCCTCATAGGCAGTACAGGGAGTAAGGAATAGGACTCCAGTTACAATTGGACAGCTGCACAGTAAGCATCTACATAAACCATCTGTTAAACCTTATTATTGCACATCGTTGTTAGATCAGAATGAGCATTCCCCTTCAATTGTTCCGGAAACAGCCCTCAACTGTTGAGAATTTGGTTGCTTTCAATCCTGCTTTTCTTGCTGCCGTTAGCGCTTTTTTGTGTACTATCTTACAGTTCATTGGGATGTCTACATGGATGCAATATTCGTCTCACTTGCTTGAGCAGGCGGGGTGGAAAATGTTCACACGAAAACTGAGGCCTTCTAGACTTGGTGTATAATCTGATTTGCTGACTGTTAAAAGTGCTGCGTTAACTAAAACTGATTGCTGAAGGATTCTTCCAATCACATACACAGCGGCAGAGGTACATGGTTGGAAGTTGATGATCGAACTGGAGGTCATATACAAACGATAAACAACTCAAGACAAATGTTGATTAGTCCTTTCCGGAAAACTGAATATCACCCCAAATTTGCTGAGATGGAGGCTGGTATAAGCGTTGTTTCCAACCCACCCCTTAGAGGCAACCCTCATACTCCAAAAAAAAACAACGAGATAAAACTTGCACCTGCAAGCGAACTACTGGGAATAAAAATCTGGGTTGATAGCATTTAACAGACTGACTACTATTACTCCGCTTAGTGATAACACGAGTGCACAGAACATCAGAGAGGCAAAGTGGCAGGAATATCAAAGTAGAATCAAAATCTAGCTTCCGAAGCATTGCACAATCGATGGGAAGCACAACTGCTATAAGATAAGAACACGGCATCATAGGCATGGAATGTTAACATACACTCAACACAAGACACTGGTTCAGAATGGACTAGAGCGAAGAAGGGATCTATACACACACACGACGGAGACCCAACGTCAGGTGTCCGCTCACCATTCAACACACACACAATTATATATATATATATGCAAGGTCACACACAAAACACTTGCACAGTTCTTCTTAGCCTCCTGTCAACACCAATCCGCAGCTACAAGTAGTACCAAAGTTCCTCCTCATCACAACCGGCCAGGCAAGTGAATCTCATCTAGAAACTCATCTCATCACAGCGCAGAAACATCGAGGCTGCCCGCAGTGAGGAATGGAAAGCGGCGAGGAGTAGGATGAGAAGAAACAAGACACGCGAAAACGTGACCCCGAGAGGGGAAGGGAAGGGAAGCGACATCTTCATCATCCTCATCATCATCATCCCGGTGATGGAAAAAACAGAAAGGAGTGAACGGGAGAGGGAGGGGCAAGCAAGCAAGTGCCGCATCTCGATGCATGCAGGTACTCCCTGTCCTCGTGTCACCTCGACGCGACGTTGTTGCTTCGAGCAGCACCTCGACGGCGACGGCGATATACGGCGAGAGGAAATACAAACGCAATGCTGGCACTACCAGAGCCCCTTCCCTTCCCTTGTCTCACCTCATCCTCCTCCTCGCGGAAATAGGTGGTCACGGTGAGGGGCTATCACCGAGTGGCTTGTGGTAACACCCTTACCCGTGGGGGGGGGGGACATGGGGTTGTGAAATAACTGGGCTTTTGGAATTTGGCTTTGCTTTTCTAGTAGTAGTAGTATTATTATATCTGTTTTCTCTGTTTACTGTAAGTAGATGTGTGTCCTGAATACCTAATCACATACAATTATAGGGGAGTATACACATATAAAATTTGAAAATGGTATTTGGGTTAGATCAAACGAACCTAAAGAAAAAGAAAGAAAACAATCAAACAAACAAAAGGATACATTTTGAAAAACTGATCTTTTTCAGCTCAAATATTCAAGTTAGCATTACTTGAATGAGTCCAATTTTTATTCTGGATGATATCCCAATAGATGAGTCTCGATAAAACCCAGTCTTGAATAATACTTTGAAGTGAAATGTTGCTTGAAAAACACCTCATGATTTCAATAAAAAATCAATATGTATATACTTACACACAGAGATATGTACACATATAAATTTATATATCACAGTACTCTTTAACTATCCAAATTTAAAGTATAAGTAGTACACAAAATATTCAACATTTTAGTGAAGAAAAATGTGAATTGTTTGCAATTGAGTACAGCAAATTTAGTAAAGGGATCATACTAAATCACTTACAATTTTATTTAGTATTGATAAAAACGCCAACATTCCAAATTCTCATGCTTGTGTACTATTTTACATTCAAAACATATATATATATATATATATATACATAATCCAAAGTGTAATATTTTAACATATTCTAACCATTGTTCAAACATGTGCATACTCAAGAATTTTGGAAAATTGAAAAAAAAACACAAAAACAAAACAAAACAAAATGAATACCACTACTTTTGCATATAAGTAATACTTTCTATTCAAAATATAACATCAACTCAACTATTCTTCTATTTTCCTACATCTTCTTAGAAACAAACTATTCATATTATGTTTTTATTTAAAACACCAAAATTAATTTTTCTCGTAACTGTTAACTTTGTCATTTAAAGAACAATGTTGGTTAGTATTTTCACCTGACTACAAACAAAACTAAATAAAATTCAAAATTATTTGTAAAATAATTATTCTAACTTGTCTTCTACATCATGTTGAAGAGTCAAAAATAATTATCATTTTGGACTTTATTGAAATTAAAGCAATACTGATAATCATGTTTATCATGTATTTGATGAATATGTTTGTGTTTCATGATATGAAAGTGCAACTTGTATAATACATGATTGTGGGATCTTAAATTGATCATATAAATCTTTTAAATATTTAAATTAAGAGTCCAAACATTAGTTCCTACAACATGTTAACATGAAAATGCTCAAGAGTATTACTTTTTACACGATTTTCAAGAATCTTTTTGATTATGTGCATAAACACTTTAAACAAAATAAAATGACATTGTTTAAATAGTTGTATGTGAGAATATTTATACACATACACATACACAAATATACATCTTGAATCCATTTCTGATTTTTGTTTTAACTCTATATTTTAAACTTTAAAACAACTACATTATTACTAGCATTCACGTTGATTTCAGTTTAACATTCTATTATTAGCACATATAAAATAGGATAGACATGTATCAACAATGGAATAAGTTGGTAAGTTCCATGGATTTGGACAATCCTGTCTGCAGTAAAGTTTTCAAAAAATCACATTTTGAATTATTTAACACCAGGTAATGTATGCAGTCCATTTAATTGATGTGATTTGTGTGTGTAGTTATATATATAATCATGCAAAAACACAAGTTATATAAATAGTAACACCGGATGTCAAAATTAATCTATTCAGTGATTACACGATGCATGCAACGCTGAGGATGAATTTGCACGCCTAATCTCTTGTTGCTCATCAACACATACATTTATATATTCTTAAATAAATGAAGAAAGTGTCATTTTATATTTGGCATGGAATAAAATTAAAAATTGTTGGGGAAGTGAGGCAACGACGCGTGCACCAGGCTCATTGGTTGGCCCAGGTTTCATATGAACGCTGGAAAGGGACCCTTCGAGGCCACTCCACCTCAACCAACACTTATGCACACACAGTCTGGTCACAATCCCGGGCCGGGCCGGGTCGAGTGAGGTGGAAGGATCCGGAAGGAGGAGGAGGCCCGGTCGGGGGGAAGGGGGGGGGAGGCGAAGAATGTGTCGACACGAGGCAAACGATCTTTCAGCCAGAATAGGGGTGGGGGGAGCCTGGGAACCCGTGGGGGGGTGCCAAGTGGCGGGCATCGCCGTGGAGGACTGGGAATATCTTTTGTCCCATTGGCTCGGGTTTGCTGATTCCGCACCGTATTCGTCCCGCCTTCTCAGCCTATCACCTCCTGCCAGCGACCCCACCCCGCCGCGCCCGACACGTGGTTCCTTTCCACACGCCTAACTGAGAGTGCTGCGACGCGTGGATCCCCCGTCCCCCCCGATGCCAACGAACACCCTCTTCTCTCTCTCTCTCGCTTGCTTGCTTGCTGCCAGTCCCCATCACCCTGCCCGTTCTGCCCGCGGCCAGCTCCTTACCTGGGTTTGTTTTCTTTCCTCCAAGGCAGTGAGCACATGGTTGCTGCCCTCTCTCCCGCCACAGTATTTTCCTATAGCCTCTTTGTGCCTCCACGCCTTTTGCGTGGATTGGTGGATTATTGCTATCTCTGGGAATTTTGAACCCTTGGCATGGCATGGCATGGCATTTTTCTTTTTATGGGTATTGTTTTGATTTTTTTGTTTTAATTGTTCGGATTCTGGGGCTTTGACCATTAATAATCCTCTGCACTAATATGGTATGAACACTGTTGTTTTGATTCTGTTGGTGTAACAAACAAGGCTGACGTGTGCTCTTTATTCTAGTGAGGAAAGGGCATGAAGGCTGGAATAAAAGAATGCTCACTGTGTTTTTTTATTTTTGTTTTGTCCTTGTGGTCTCCTGATCTGTACATGTGTTTTGTGACGCAATCATTTTAATGAGATTATTCATGGTAGATTCTTTAAGTGGGGATACTGGAGTTTTATCAAAGGAACAATGTTTTTACCATGCAGAAAGTAAAATCCAAGCCATGTTCATTCGTATTCCAGCATTTAAAATGAGCGAGGAATCAAATGCATTTGGCTTGCATAGAAAACATTTATTTTCTTTTATTTATTTGTTATTATTTTTTTACAGAATGTATTATGGAATGCCTTCCAAGGCCCAATTTACACCATCCTAGTACCCAGACTCTTCTTGAAAACCATCATTCTATAGTAATAAATAATAATAAAAAATCATACGCACGGAGAGAGAGAGAGAGAGGGAGAGAGAGAGAGCGAGAGAAATAAATATATGCGTTCCAAGGTCAACAACAAGGTCCGTAGCACAGCCAAGGAAGCACTTACCCAGTCAAACATAAAGAAAAACGCAGAGAAGAAGGATGTAACAACATCTGGACAACTAAGAGAACCAGAAAGAAAGAGAGTCCGATCTATATACACATATAAATATAAATATAGAGGTCGACCGAGAATTATTGGCATTTACATCTATTTCCGTCAGCTCTGTTCGTTTCTTCGTCCACCTATTCGTTCGTTCGTCGGGCGGTAGGCGCAGAGGGAGGGGGGCGAAGGGGCCGGGCCGGGCCGGGCCGGGTGAGGGGGGAGGGGGCACCCAGCCTGGCTGGCGAGCGGGGGGAGAGCCAGCCCTGATTCCCGTCGTCTCGTCGCCCGCCAGGCGTCGTCGAGGCTGCCTCCCTTTTGTTTGATGAGAGAGAGTGTGAGAGGCCCTGCTCCCCGTTGGTGCTCTCCTCTCCGCTACTCCTCCTCTTCAGCCTCTTGTGCCTCTGTCTCTGTGCTCCTTCCTCCGCTTGCCATGCTTGCCTGTGCACAATCTGCGTGTGTACGCGCGTGTTTATATATTTTTACACATTAAGTTTCTTTATATTTCCTGGTGTTTATTTTTGTGCGTTTTATTATACTTTACTCTATTTGTGTTTGTTTGTTTTATATATTATTTTTTCGGTGATCTTTTTTCATTACCCCTTCTCTCCGACGAAGACGACGACGACATCATCAACAAACCATTGCACCAACTCCTGTCCTATCATTCTGCACTTCTACCCCGCCCGCCTTCTCTGCCATCTCTCCTCTCCCCCTAGTCTCCTTCTACCCGGTCTGCTTGCGCCACTCCGTGTTGTCCTAAAGGAGATTTGCCTCGCGTCTGACCTTTGCCATCGTCTTGTGCGTTGCCTCGCACAAAGAGTGCGAACGCTGTGGCTTGGGGAATAGTAGTAATAGTTGTAGTAGAATTAGTAGTAGTTGTAGTAGTAGTGTACACAAGCTTAGAGCAGTTGATTTATTCTTATTTATATTTTGGTTTGTCCTCCGGTTGTTTGACCTGCGTTTGCGGCGGCCGTGAGTGATACCGCTGTGAATGTGTTGGTGCGTTGTGTGTCGGCTGTGTTTGTCTGCGTGGGTGCGTGTGCGGCTGGAAGGGTCTGCTGTTGATGTAAAAGAGATCAGTCGAAGTTTGCGTCAGTAGCGAGGCCTGAGTAGGCGTGCTTTCAGTTTGGGAGCGAGTGGCCTGGGGTTTCTTCAAGTGCAAGCGCGCGTTGGAGTGCTGTTGTTGGAGTGGGCAGGGTTTTCTGGCGAGTAGGAGCGAGCAAGCTAGCAAGCGCGCATGCAGGTGTGCAGTTGGCCGGGGATTGAATCATGGTGGAAGGAAGTGCGGAAATCCTGGGGTGGAGGCCGGTCGGGCTTTAATTTGTGGGCAGGTTATGGCCACAGCTAAAACTTGTAGAAGTGCGCACGGAGGATTGATGGAGGAGTCGTCAGGCTGCGAGAATGGAGCGGTATCGTCGAGGCGTCGCAGGATGGAAATTCGGGGATTCAAGATGATGACGAACTCGAGTTCCTTTGTTGAGCAGCCCGTAAGTAAGCGCTTACGCCCTGTTTCTGGCATTTTTGACGTGCCACCTGGAGATGAAGACGGAAGCCATGCTTTGTGTGTGACAAACCGGGACAATGCGCTGTGTGGTTCTACTTGTAGTGTAGAGTGGGGACAGGAGAATAGCGCAAACAGGCTGTCAGTTTGTGAAGTGATTCGAGAGCCGGAGCAGGCTGCGACTTCACTCTCTGCAGCATGGGAGAGACCGTCCGGAGGTCAGTCTCGCTATTCTCGTCAAAGCTGATCTTCCAGCTGTGTTGGTCTTCGACCAGTTGCAGCCTCTGGGCTCTAGTCTGTCCCTCCTATAGGGCAGTCTCTTGCTTAAATGGTGTCTGCGAGCAGAAACCATACGATCCCCGTGCTTAGAGACCGGATACAGGGTTGTATTCTGGAGATTCGGTCTCATGATATGTAACCTCCTGAGGTGTCTGAGAGACGCTGCTCTAGGTTCTTGTCCGTGATATGTGAATAGCTTTTGTACTATATAGTGCCTTCCGAGTATGTGCGGTAGCTTCCTAGTCTCCAGAAGTGTGTATATTGGTGAAGTAGTAGGTTGCTAGTTGGTCTTTCACAATATGTATACTATCGTATACTATTTGTTTAATTATTTTTCGAGTTCCTGATGTCTGATTTTGCTATGCAGGTGACTGTAGACTTGGCAATGAAGATGGATGTGCAATCAACGCAAGTGAGACTGTAGGGAGTAGCAATAGTGATCGGATGAGCAGTGGCGGAAGCAGTAACAGTGGCCTTCCCGTCGAGGAGTCTGATGTGAGTTCCACGCTGACTTTTGCCGAAGGGTCTCTGAGCCCATCTGGAAACATGAATAACGCTGTGCAAGGACCCTTTCAGGCTCTCGCATACGAACCAGACAATTCGGGAACTGCAGATATGGCTGTTTCTACTGCCTCCGACATTTTGACTCTGGGAAGTGTCGATAACAATCAAACATTAGATATGCCTGGCGTTTTATTTCAGCATCCCTCTCCATTGCAAGCAACTGGAGCGAATGATGTTCCAGATTTCAGTGCTGTGGTGCCTAGTGACGCTGGAGGACCTAGAGCGCCTTGTTTCTCTGGTAATGACTGTCCGCCCCATGGTATGGTGAGCTTGTGCGGACGGAGACGAGAAATGGAGGATGCAGTTGTAGCGAAATCATGTTTCATGAAGTTGCCCTGTAACAAAGTAGGGGGCTGCAATGCTGGGGGACTGGAAGAAGCTCCTTTACATTATTTTGGAGTATACGATGGGCATGGTGGATCGCAGGTTAGTGTTCGTGTGTTCACACTCTTATAATAATAGTTTCTTTGGAATTTGATAATCAGTGTTTTTTTGTTGCATGTGCTCACACATGTGTACTAAAAGTCTGGATGCGGCAGTTAGGACTAACATCGAAGATGAACAAGTAGTTCATGTGTGTTAAATGTCCACTATATTCAAGTCTATTCTATATATTTCGTCTTGGGTATCAAGTAGCTTTGTAAGTTGGCTTAATTTCAAATCTTGCAGGAGATTAGGAGTAGTAGGGCATAATGGATGTATTATGGGAGAGGAAAGGGATTGTTGCTCACTGTAGTGTATCCTCTTACCCTGGTGCCTGGGCATAGGTGCAGTTATTTTCATATGTTTCTTTTGTCTTTGGTTCGTGACATGCTGTGTTCAATATGATTGGTTTAAACCAGGCAGCGAATTTTTGTGCGGAACGCTTGCATCAGGCTTTAGCAGAGGAAGTTGAGTCCGCTTTTGCGCAGAGTGGAAACGTAGACCAGAACGCATCTAATTGGGAAGTGCAATGGCAAGCAGCCATGACACAATGCTTCAAGAGGATGGATGCTGAAGTGGGGGGTTTCTGTCTGGAGGAATGTGAGTGTTCAATCAGTGGCAACCCCAGACATAGTCCTGAACCTATTGCTCCTGAGACAGTTGGGACAACTGCCATTGTAGCAGTTGTGGGTGCATGTCAAATCATAGTTGGGAACTGTGGAGATTCTCGAGCCGTCCTTTCTCGTGGTGGAATCGCCATCCCTCTTTCTGTGGATCATAAGGTGTGCCTCTATTCAGTAAAGTTTTTGAGTTTTGTCGTGGGGATTTGATGATCAGGATTGTGTGAGCATCGAAGTTATAACTGACGCAAGGTTATTAAATTTGCAGCCAGAGCGAGAAGACGAGATGGCACGCGTAGAGGCTGCAGGTGGTCGTGTTATTTATTGGAATGGTTATCGGGTGCTTGGTGTGCTGGCGATGTCAAGGGCATTAGGTAAGCTTGTTTTTTGATGATTTGTGACAGTTATCTGCCATTCAAATTGTTGTTTCTCTTTCTACCAAATTGAAATTGTAGTTTGAAAATATGCGTGTATTTTATTTATTTAAAATATGAGCATTTCTTGTTTCTTTAGGTGATCGATATCTTAAGCCATATGTCATTCCGGAGCCTGAAGTTCAGTGCATCAAACGTGCCGAAGACGACGAATGTCTAATTTTAGCTAGTGATGGACTCTGGGATGTAATGTCAAATGAGGCGGTCTGCGATATTGCACGCCGTGCTTTGAGTTGTAGGCGAAACGTTCAGCCACCTGTCGATGGTCAAGAGGAGGAAACACCGGCTGCACAAGCTGCAGCGCTGCTTGTGAAATTAGCCCTATCTAAAGGTAGCACTGACAATATTAGTGTTGTGGTGGTGGACTTAAAAGTTCCCAGGGATAGATAGCATCCGGCTACATGCGCAGCATTGAGACCCTAGGTGATACGTGTATGGTGCAAGTTTGATTACTGTGCCTTATCACGACGTAAAAGCATTTGATCAATATATTTAGCTATTTTTTCTCAGAATAGTGAGAGAAAGAGCTGGCAAGTGACGATGATATGAAAGGAAATTGAAGATAAGCAGAAGGGTTTATTTATTGACTTAAAAAATCTGTGCTTCGAGCCAAGCTGCATTCAGTTTGAGCATAACATTGTTTCATGTTCAACGAAATGGAAACTCATTTGTGCTGCTTATGTGGATTCTGATGCTGGGATATTTCACGTATGTCCTTCCAACTTTTGCCGCGCGTCCTTGTGAATGAAACAAGAAGGCTTGAGATGATTTGATATTTCCATTTTTAAAATCATAGTTTAAAGACTGGCGGAAATGTATATTGCATTGTATTTGACATGATGAAGTACATACAAAAAAGACTGTTGGTATTATAATATTAATTGACAGCTCATACTCATTCCTGTTGACCAATAGCCCACGTGTTCGTAATAATTTGTAAGGTTGTCTAGTGTCCTAGTATAGTAACTATTTTCATGCCAATTAAGCCTTGGTTGATTAGGTTGGTTATTTCTAAAACCCCATCTTACCAAATCATGGATGTGTATCCTGACTATATAAAATTGAAGCTTTTTATCAGTAATCATCGGTGTCCAAAAATCTGCTCGGTAGGAAAACTGTTTCTAAGATTTTCTCACTGATAGGATTTATTACCATATGGATATAGTTAAAAGACGAAGAGTTGATATTGGTAGATACAACCAAATGGTTATAATGCCAGATTTTGTCAGCACTTTACATTAAAAGTCCCAAAAACTTTTAATAGTTTGACGGTAGAAATGAAATTGGTAATTACTTGATCTAAACTGTGAGGGAAGCAAACTTTGAACATTCTATGACTCGGAGTTTGCACCAACAAACATAAAAGATTGCTCTAAAAGCTTCTCCTCACATAAATTAAATATAATGAAATAGAAATAGAATTTTTTCCAAATCCAGTCCACTTTTATAAAATAAACGTTTTAAGTAAACAACATGTGCACAATATTTTTTTGCTAACTTTACACAAATGAAAAGATTACATAGCACACATTATAAATTGAGCATCATAAGTGTTTAGGAAAAGAGAAAGTTCAAATAATATATAATTTGTCAATATAAAAATATAAAAATATATATGTTTAAATATCTAAAACAAAAACAATCTTAAATACTTTTAAAATTTAACACATAAAACTTGTATATATGATCATTTATTATTATATGTAGATACAAAATAAATAAATAAATAAATCCAGATTTATAATGTGCATACAATATCAAATAAATATTTAAGATTTTCAAATATAAATCTTTGTCTCTAAAATAATTCTAACTACAAAATAAGACAATTTTAACCAATGTTTTTTTGTTAGAAGTTTTTTTATTTATAGAATACATGTTTACAAATTCAGATCAGAAACTATATATGTATATATATATATATCTATAATTATATTACATATTAGATTAAAAATATATTTTAGATAGTTTATCCATTGTAAAAATTGTTTATACTTCAAGTTCTTAAAGAATAAAATAAAATATACTATTCAATAAAATAAATTTATTGCTTTTGTAAAACCAATCATTTACATTATAAATTATAAGTATATATATATATATATATACACACACACATATATTTTAAAGATTATTGTAATTATTTTGTTGAAATATTTTTGTAATTGATATTTAATTATATATTTTCATTAATATACTAGTGGAAAGATATGCCTTTAAGAACCAAAATGTGGTTCCTCATCCATAATAGAACAATATTATGACCACTATACAAAATCTACCACCTAATCCTAATACTCTTAAAAATATGAATGAAGCACTTTATGGTATTGTGCTCCAAGTTTGGTGCCTCCAATCTTTGGCATTGCTATCCATCCATTCCCTTATTCATCCATATTCAGACAATGAAAGGCATCTTCATGTCTTTGTCGTATACCTAAATTGTTTTACTATATAGATGTGTGAATGGATATATATATATATATATATATAGTATTGAATATGTTTAGTTATTTTTTATATTCATAAGTTTTGATAAAATTTATTCCTACAACAATATTTATATCTCAAGAAGTTTGTTTATATCTATTTTTTATTTAAGATTTTAAGTAGATAAAAAGTAAATGTAAATTTTTATATATAAAGAATATATGATTATTAATATGAAAATAGAAATAAAATTATAAATATTATATGCATATGTATATATATATATATCAAAATTTAATCTAATTAAAATGTAAGTAAATTCTATTGATAAATTTAAATTAATTAAATAATAAATTGACAAATTACATAAATATAATAATTTTAGTCACGATGGATGTTAAAATGATATAATAAAAATGAAAATATTATATTGAAGTCATATATCTTTCTATAACTAAAATATAGTCAACATATATATAGGATATTGCTAATGCCACCACAATTCCATAAAAAGTTTAGTCAAGTTTTAGTAGAATCCCAACCATTTTTTCATGGTATAATATATATATATATATACACACATACATAGATAATATTTTTTATTGGATATAAATAACTAAAGAAATATATTGAATGAGTGATGGGTTGGTTCAAAAATTGAACCAAAAATTAGAAACTTTTTTTAGTATCAGTTATAACCACGCTATATTATATAACTGATCAACTGATCAAAAAATTAAATTATATATATACACACACCAACTATATCTTTTATTGGTTTGTAAAATCAATGTTAATTCAATATTTTATCAGTTATATCCACATGATACTAAAATTTTTAGTATCAGTTATAACCACGCTATAGTATTTTATCAGTTATAACCACGCTTTAGTATTTTATCAGTTATAACCATGCTATAGTATTTTATCAGTTATAACCATGCTATAGTATTTTATCAGTTATAACCACGCTATTGACTTTCTTTGCAACAACACCTTGACAAACATGCTTTTGCCAGGAAGCTGCAGAGGAAATCGGGTTCGAACACAGAATAACAAGAATTTCATTCAAAATTTCAACAACGAAGACCCATCCATCAAACTTGCAAAAACCCATCCACCAGACTCTTTTTGAGGCTTTCACATGATGCAGGTTATAATCAAGCTTTGTTAGAGGCCAGAAAAAATTCGAGTCTCTTAACTGCTCAACACTCTCTCACGCTCTAGGGATGTCACAGTAAATGCACAAATACATTTGTACTCGTGTTTATATATAAATATATATACTTACAGGTGAAAACACGCATCGACAACGTGCTAGCTGACAAGAGATGCTTCCCCCTTGATGCAGGCAGTTGTTACCACATTTCCATCACCTCCTCCTTCACCATAAAGTGCTAACCAGGATTTGCAGCCCACTTGTGAACTGGGTTCTCCCATCACGGAGCTTAATAGACTCCGGAGATCGCTGCAAAATCACTGATCTGACAAGACAACAAGACCCACAAACTTTACCAGTATTCTGCCTGAGCAGCAGCAGGAGAGCTTCCAGATTCTGGATTGCTCAGAGCTCGGGGAGTGTGAGCAGTGCTGTTGACATCATCTGAAGAAACGATATAGACGGCATCCACTAAATGCTAGCAACACCACACGTACTTTTCTTTTTCCAGCTTGCCTTTTATGTGCTACGTTGAACTTGTACTGGAGATCATAACCTTGGATCTGACAATAGCATGGGCCAGTCGATTGGGGTAATTTTTTAGAGCATCACAAACGACCCACCTATTCAAGCATATATGTGTATGTGGATGTATTTATATATATAACCTGAAAACACATCAAGAAATTGAAGGAGCAAAGAAGGAAAGTGAAGAAGAGAACTGGAAAAGGCTAGTTGAGGCGGTTGAACCTTTGGATTGTGAGTTGAAGTATTTCCAGAAATGGAAGATCTGAATAAAGAATTAAGAAATTTGTGAATCCTGAGGTCATCCGGGTGGTGCCTGTGATGAAATAGACGGTTATTAAAAATGTTCATGTTGGAAAACCGGGTGAAAGTAAATCAGAAAATGGCGATCACCTGGTGCATCACCACCTACTAAATTGTGCCTGTATATGTATCCTTGTAATTACCGTTCCCCGTAGCGGGCAGGAAATCTAAACCCTGCCAGAGAAATGTTGTTGCCACAACTAGGCAACCTAAATACACTAGAATGATCCTTCAAGCGCTAACTCTAGCTCTCACACACATGAGCGCACCCTCTCTGTACCTATCTCTTCTAAATCTCTCTGATTCTCTCTGCCTGCGTGTCTGTACGAGACGAAACACGGCTAATATGATCTGCGAATGAAAGAGCGGAACTTCAGACAACTACTAAACTGATGACGCCTTAGTCACATGTGAATAGCTGATGGGCAAATCGCCTCACTTGCTCCGCCGCTTCGCTTCGCTGTAAAGAACAACTCCAAAAACGGTGAGACTGTAACCGGCCATGCCAGTGACGGTGACCGGATTCCGGAAGAGAAGAACAGAGACCACAACAGCTACAGCGCCCTTGGCATTTCCTAGGACCTGCAAGGTTAATGCGCTCGTGTGCTTGGTGACGAGGAAGTTAGTGAGGTTGACAAAGTATGCCATGGCGGAGTTGACAATCAGCAGGAAGAGAATGTAGACGTCGCGCCTAGCCGATGCAATCAGAATCCCTAGAACATTGGGCTCCAGTAGCAATGTGGCGGGCAACAACACCACTACTGCAATGGGAGCCATGTACAACAGCAGATTCATGGAGTTGAGCTTCTCGCCCTCCGAGGACAGCAAAATCCCTTGCAAAACCGACTTTAGGGCTCGCGCTGCCGTGGCCATGACACACATCACGAATCCATACAAGTGAAAACTGGGCTCGCCACCGCTGGCGATGACCACGCCCGTGACAACCGGAACCAGGGTTGCATAGACGAGCCACGCCTCCTGCCGGAACGTCATTATATACGCGAACACGGCGGTGAAGAACGGCGTGGTGGCTCCAATGGCCTGGTTGAAGCTGACAGGAAGGAAGCGCAGCGAGATGTTCCCACTCACCACCGAGGTGCAAAAAATGATACTCAACGCCACAATTTTCAGGAACTGCGTGCGTGATCTAATCGTCTGCATGGGCACCACCTTCATCCATGCTATAGCGATGTAACTGAAGAGCGCGCACGCCGTCATGTGGCACATCGTAAGGAAAATAGGGAATCTGAATCCATAGTTACTTAACAAATACTTGTTTAGCAACAACACGCCGATGTTGGAGAAGTACCACGCGCCAATCAAACCCACGGTGAACACAGACGTCGACATTTTCAACCCTGCTCTCATGAATCAGCCAACGCCCCACAAAAACCAACAATCACCCCGACCTCCACTTCCCTTCGCCCCTCTTCTCCCTCCCCTTCCTCAACCCACAAAAATCCACGTGCAGATCCTTCAGCTAAAAGAACCCCACGTTACAACTTCGCGCTAAAAACCGCAACCCCGCAGTAATTGCCAGCCACGGGCTCCAGAGCTCGAGCAGCGAGCTTCTGGATCTAGGAACAAGGTCCTCCTCGTCGCCTCACGACGAGACGCGCTCGCAAGCCACAGTACCCCTAAGCACGATGGACCATAGCACGAGCCTGATGAAAATCGCGGGCTGGGCTGGGTTTGCGCACTTACTCCCTACACACGGCCCGACCCGGCCCGATCCCTCTTGGCACGACCCGGGCTTATAATAGCGGGTGCCCGCGGGCTTCACCCGTCCTCACAGTACCTAATACGTCAAAAGTTCGATTCTCCTTGCAACCGCCACCTCATTGTATTTCCCTCTTTTGCTTTATTTAGGATTTATGAGCTTTTTTCTTTTTCTTAATTGTGCCTTTTTAGTGGGTGTTTGGGGGGGGGGGGTCAATTAAGCTCACATGTGGGCCTTTGCCTCCTTTAGTTTGCTATTGGTTTTCATTCTGTGTTTTCTTTCTAATTTGTGTTGCAAAATGTTGTTATTTTCTAATTATATCCTAATTGACTTTTCCAACGCCAAAACTAAAGATAAATAAATCATAACTTGCTTCAAATTGAGTGAATTTGAGTTATAAAATTCAAGGAATTCGAAAATACAATGATAGAAGACTAAAATTTTGAATAATTTTTTTGTTTGTTTGTTTGTTTGTTTATTTAATGGCATCATACATGTCACCAACAAAACACACACCAAAATAGGTGTCAAACTTTTTGTGGGTTGTGGTTGTGTGTGTTTTCATTGCATGCATATTAAAATAGCTGTTTGGAACCATAACATGTAATACATTGATTCTTCTTGAAATTTTCCTCGTTATTGAATACAATTAAATAAAACAGACATATACCAATCAATATTTAAAAATAAGAATTTGAATTTGTTTGATTGATTCACTATTAAAGAATTAGATAATAAGGAATTAATTAAAAATAAAACACTCTACGTTAATATGGATATACATCTTGTTTTAATGTAATGAATGCTTTTCATGTCATATGTTTTAATATATTCATAAAAATTAATCAAAATTATTCAATTTTGTTTTAGTTAATTCATTTGTTTCATTTTATACTTTATAGTTTGTGTTTAAAGTTACACCCTAATTGTTTCTATAATTGTAGCATTTTGGTTTTGTTTCAAATATGCTATTGGCTTTGTTTTCTTAAGTCATTGATACCTAAATTTAGGAGAATTTTAAATAGACCCAAGTTTTTACTAGATCAACCCACCCATTCTAACTATCATAAAAAAAAAAATTAAAAATTAAAAATTAAAAAATTTGACCTCAAGATTTATTTATCCATTATTATATCTGCAATCAATAAAAACCAACCACATTCATTAAGATTACCATATTCTTCATAAAAGTAGATCTGTTTTGTAAAAGCATAGGTCTATTTAACATTTTCTTAAATTTATTATATAACTTGCTTTCCTAAGCAAATAATATTTTATTCCTTTTCAATTTATTAAAAATTTAAAATAATTTTATTATGTGTATTCTTTTAAAAATAATTGTAATATAATTTCAAATTATAATAATTTTAAAAAACATTATTAGAACTATAATAAAACATTAATTTAAATTAAAATATAATATTTTTTTAAAAAATATTGATTGCTAGTTATAAAGCCATCTAAATTCAACAAAAAAAAAATCTTTTCTTAAGTTCTTAGTTATTGATAGTGTTATAACAATATAAAATTGTAAGTAGTTATCATGAAACAAAATTTTTATATGTAAAACTAATCAATAGAAAAAGAATTCAAATATTAATTTGATGATGGTATATTATATATTTGTTAAGATATTCAAATTACTTTGTCATAATATCAAAAAGTTATGGATTTAAATTTTTTATTTTATAATTTTAGAATATATCTAATATGTTGAAGAGTTTTTTTAGCATGTACTTATATCCCTACTTAACTTAAGTTTTTTGAAAATTTGAATTTTACTTAATATGTTCATTATACTCATTTTTTTATGTTCGTAGTAGTATTTGTAAAAATATACTTGCATTAATATTTCAATATTATGATTTAATATATATATAAAATTTTATAAAGTTAAATAAATTGTATTAAAAAATAAAATTAATGCAAGTAGATATGATCAAATATAGAAATAAAAAGAAGTGGTTAATTAGACTCTACTTGAATCTCTAATTTTTACAACTTTATTCTTAGTAAAAATAGAAAATCTAAGGTCTTGAAAGAATAAAATTAAGTAAAGTAAAAATAATGGCTAAAATTTAAATTGAGATCATAATTGATCTTAGGTTTCAAGTATTTTTGTTTTTGTAGATAAGGTTTTTCTAGATCAATCTAAAAAGAAAATGTGTTATTTTCTACTTAAAAAAATATTATTTATGATATCTATTTGTTTATTGGTTCATGTACGTACATACATACATACATACATACATACATACATACATACATACATATACATGTTTATTTTTATTTTAAAAATATAAATGACTGTAAATACATAAAATGTTATCTATATAAATTTTAAAAAATATTATCAAATTAAATTATAAGTAAAAAAAATATTTATTATTGTTGAAAACATAAAAGATGTTTTTATTTGATTATTATATTAATATTTCATTACAATATAATATTTGAAAAGATTATCATTTTTTTGAATATTTTTTGAATATTTTTTATATATCTATAACATTCTTTATGGAAATTGTGTGCTAAAATTTACTTATTCATTGTTGTTTTATACAATATTATTAATTTGTTAAGCAATATCGTGCTACTATAATTGACTTTTTTTTAAGAATCATCATATAGTAGTAATTAGACATAGAAGCTTGTAACTAGGAATAATAATCTTATAGGACAAATCAAATAAAAATCTAAGAGAATAAATTAATTTGCAGAAGAAGGATTATTTCTTAAGATAAAGGCCACTATTATTGTACAAATATATGTGTTTTGGATTTTGATACCAATAATATATCCATTTAAAATTATATGTATAGAAGAATGTTAAATTGTTTTGAATAGTGGTTAAATTGATCCATCCACCGAAACCATAATTGTACCCTTCCAAACTTTGTTCTTTGTTGATGTTCCCAGTGTCACATCCTCTATCTGCTCTTCCTATTTCTAGTCCTTTTCTTCTATCTTGACTTCTTTCTACACAATCCTCCCTTTCCACTCTCTATTCCTAATGGTAGATATGAGATATGACAAAGGCCATATAAACATATTCTTTCATAAAAGTGTATTTTTGTGCTTTTTCTCTTAGAGTAAGTGAGTCTAGCTCTTCCTCCTCTTTTTTATATTATTATCAAATTTGATGTTTTTTCCCAACAAAACCAATTAAATTTAAAATTTCACTCATTTACTTGTTGTCACTCTTATTGAGATGCATTCTTTGTCATATGACCTTACAAAAAGTGATACTGATTCTCTTATTCATAAGTGCCATTTTATTTATGGAATCTATCTTCTTTGCTTTATTTTTTGCAATTGTCACTTATTTCACTAACATTCTTGTTGTAAATGCAACATTTACTTCATCATTTAATTTGCCATTAAATTTGCGGTAGAAAATAGAGTAATTAGTGAATTTGCTAGTAAGCCAAGACATCCTCTTATTAACTCAATGTCTTCTTATTTGCAATTTGATAGATTGCTATGACATCAATTGTTATATTTGAGGTCTTATTTTGTAAATTTATGAAGTTGATAAGATTATTTTGTAGATGAGAATGTATAAATCATTGCTTGTGGATTTATCTTATTATGTTCTTTAGTCATGATTAATATTGTGGATCTATTTAAATGCTTGAATTGAATTACTTGAGTGATTTCAATAGGATTTCTAAGCTGTTGTGGGGAAATGAGTCTCATATATTTGTAGTTGAAGTGATGAATTATTTAGGCATATGTTAGATTAGCCTTGGATTAGATTAATGGGGTCTCCAAAATTGACATTTGGATATTTTTTGTCATCTTTTAGTGCATCTTACCAATCATTTCTAGATTAGTGAAAATAGAGTTAAAAAGAATTTATCAAAAGAAAAAAAGTGAAGGCAATGAATGTTGCTAATTTGAATTTTTTTTTGATAAATATATAATATAAGAAATTCCCAATTAAAGATCAAGCAATAGTTTTCATGACATATTTCAATAAAGTAGTAATGAAGTTGAATATCTTATGTCACTTCAAGATTTTAGGATTAAGTCAAAATTTTACACCTTCATATAATTTAAGATATGCTACTTTAATGCTTGAGCATCATTTTGATTTATTTGCCTTTATGAAGTTTCTTTGATATCCTTATTTTAATGTTCATCAATCAAAAATATCTAAAACAATAACTATCAATTTTTTTTGGCCTTAATTGTCTCTTATTTCTTTTCAATACTTATATATTGCCAAAAATTATGAAGTTTATGTAGAATTATAGGAGCAATTCACATTGTAATATTCTTTTATAGGATAATTGTGCATAGATCTTTAGACCTTGTTGATTATTTTTGTAATTTTGATCCAAGTACATTGCAATTCTTAATAGTCTATGTTTGTTCTTTAGAAGGGTTGAGATAGGAGACAAGAGTTGGAAATAGGATCAACAAAAAATAAAGCAAGAAAAAAGATATGGAGGGAAGAAGAGAGGTGGAGAGGCTAGATGAAGGATGGAGATTGAGAATTCGAACAAATGATATGAGATTGAAGATAGGAAAGGAGGGAGGTACGATAAAATAATGATTTTGATGCATAGGTCAATTTAACCACTATTAGAGTCAATTTAATATTCTCTTATATACAATAAAAATAAATAAATAAATAAATAAAATACATAAATATATAAATTTGAATTAAAATAAATGTTCATTAGTTTCAAGAATATAAAAATATAAAATTGTAATTTTTTTTTTCAAAAACATCATTATAAGCAAAAATATTTCTTTCATTATTTTTTTCTATTATTTTATTTATTATTTTTTACCATTTATTATATGTATATAAGTAAAAATAATATTTTTAAATTATTAATAATATTATATTAAAAAATAAAAAATATACTGATTTAAAAAAAATATTTTATTAAAAATATTCTAAAAAAACT